CAGTAGCAACATTACAGTTATGAAGTAGCAACGAAAATAACTTTATGGTTGGGTCACAACATGAGGAACTGCATTTAAAGGGCCAGAAGGTTGAGAACCACTGTCTTGGAGGGAGGGAGAGCGAAAAGGATAGTGCCGGTGTATGTGGAGGTGAGGTGGCAGGAAGTTGAAGGAGTTCCCATTGGTGGCTTCTATTTTCTCTGTGAAGGAGAAGGCAAGTTGGTCTATTGTCTGTGGGGCCAGAGGAGGTGAACACTGAGGTTGGGAACAGTCTCTGTGAAGAATGGAATAGAGCTGACCAGGGTCAGATGATTGCCAACCACATTCAGGGGCCAGTTGCGGTTAGAGTCCGTGAACTTACAAGGGCACCAATCTTTGGAGAAGTATGCCAACAGCTCCTAGCACATGGCAGTAGGAATGGAAAAAAATGAGCAGTTGGTGGTTATAGTTTTGCATGGTAAGGGCAAGAGGATAAGCAAATTATTGGTCTAGGGCTAGCAAGGGACAGAAGTGAAACAAGAAGAGGCTAGGAGAGAAACTAGAAGGGTCAGACATTTACTCAGGGTCTAGTGCAGGGGTGGGCAAACTTTTTGACTCGAGGGTCACAATGGGTTCTTAAACTGGACCGGAGGGCCGGAACAAAAGCATGGATGGAGTGTTTTTGTGAACTAATATAAATTCAAAGTAAACATCATTACATAAAAGGGTACGGTCTTTTTTTTTTTTTTAGTTTTATTCATTTCAAACGGACTGGATCCGGCCCGCGGGCCGTAGTTTGCCCACGGCTGGTCTAGTGTATGTCTAGTAATCTGTAGGGAAACAAGTACAAAGCTAGGGCAATGCTTCCCAAACCTGGCTGTGCCTCAGAATCAAGCTTAATAAAAATACAGGCTCCCTGGCCTCATTCCTAGGGTTCAATGGGTCTCAGGTTGGGGGGCACATAAGGAAAAAGGAGACATGAGGAATATATACAGTCCCACAACCCCATGATTCTGGCCTGTACAAGGTGCTGTGGAAGCCAAGAGGGCTTGGAGGTGGGAATATAGAGGGGATGACAAGGACATTTTCCTAGACAAGGGGAGTCTGTGCCTGAGTGTGACTGGTGAATCAGCCGAGCAAAGAGGGGAAGAAGCCAAATAAGCACTCCAAGTACAGGGAACAGCATGTGCAAAGGCAGGGCAGCATTTGTGGAACTCCAAGTCATTTGGTGTGGCTGCAGCAAAGTGTGTAAACAGGGGAGTGGTGATCTCTCTCAGGAGAAGGAAGCAAGAACCAGATTGTTCTGAGCCTCATTCACCGTGCTCCACTTTCCATCAAAAGAGCATTTGTCTGGCACAGCCAAGGGGCACCTAAGAGAGAGGCCAAGAATCCTGACTTTCACAGTAAATAACTTCGAAAGCAGGCTCCTCAGGCCTGGAAGGGTTAGACCCATAGGCTGGTGGAATGCAGCAGATGTGATCTTTGCAGGCCACTAGGTGGTGAACAGTATTTTTGCTCTGACTAGAAACGAAGTGTTTATAGATTCATATGTATTTACTTTGAGGGAAAGGCAGATGTCCTAAGTTCAGACAGGATTATTGAAGGAGCCTCCCTTCTGGGCTCTGAGCCAAAAACCAGAATAAGAGGCAGCCTGGAATGATCAAATGTAAAGTATATGGACATTGTGGGAAGATGTTTTCCCCCCTAAACGGTTTCTCCTCCCCCTTTCCCTGGCCCTGAAAGCCTGAAGGAGAATCCCACGCCCTCGTTCCCCTCCTTATTCTCAGAAATCTTCAGGCATATATTTCAGGATAAACCACACAAGCACGGGCACTTCATTTGTTTAGCAAACCCAAAGTCATGTTTTGGGGCTGTTCAAGTCAGACTCTACCCACTTAACCTTCTGCAGAGTCTCCAAAATACAGTCAATCTGGTGCATCCTGTGAAGTCAGGGCAATGCAGCTCTCAAACAAACACGCCCTGCCTGGAGGACAACCTAGCACTTTGCTGTCCTGGACCAGTGTCATTGCCCAGAGAAGACGCAAGGTTCATTCTGTGATCCCGCTTCAACAAACTCAAGGCCAGAGTGTTTTTTGAAAGCACTCCTGATAATGCCAAGGAAATTCGGACTCTCCTGACCAGCCCGAGACTGCAGGTGGAGTACCAGGCGCTCTGACCTTCAGAGACCTATGGACTCAGGGAGTCAGGAAGAAAGCAGGACATGGTCCCCATGCCATCTCTCAGGACAGAGGAGTATTCATTCAAAAGAAGCAGAAGGGGGATGGAGGACCAAGGAGGAAGGCAGCATTCCGCTGTCCAGAAGCACAGGCCCTGACCCCACCTGTAGTTGAGCCTTACCCAGTACGCTGCCAGCCAAGGGTGTCCTCATCAGGCAAACAGGAAAGCAGAGGCTTAGCCTTAGAGTTCTGCAGCTCTGCATGACCCTGGGGATCATGGAGTCCAAGGACAGAGAAATAACCTCCCATTCTGAGCCTTTGCAGCCTTTGAGTGCTACTGGCTCTGTGGCCATTAAGCTTTCCATTAAAAAGAGTTAATGCTCCTGGAAGGTGCCAAGTTAATACTCTTAGATTTAAAAGCTGGGGGGGGGGGGGGGGGGCGGAGGAGTAAGGCTTCAATAATGAAGGCCTGACTGATCGCGAGGGCCTGGGCTTAGAACCCACACCTCTCATTTTGGCACAGAGGGTCTCAGGGTAGGTCCAGGTTGGGTCTAGACACTGAGAGCCCTAATAATGTTTGTAATGGTCAATGGATAGTGAAGTTACCATATGTGGGGCATTGTGCTAAGCACTTTTCACACATGATGTCATTTACTCAATGGGAGAGGGTAAGAGAAAGAGCATGTGAGACAGAGGAAGCCACCAAGATGGCAGGAAAGAATCCTGTAGCCCAAGAGCTGAGGGGCCTTAGCAACTGTACTAGTTTGGGCTCAGGCTGCGGTAACAGCCTACTGGAGCCGCCATAGCAAAGAACCACAGCCTAAGTGGCTTAAACAACAGGAACATAATTGTCTCACAGTTCTAGAAGCCGGAAGTTCAAGATCAAGTTGTTGACATGGTTGGTTCCTTCTGGAAGCCAAGGAAAGGGATCCATTCCAGGCCTCTCCCCCTGGCCTGTAGACGACCATCTTCTCCCAATGTCTCTTGACATCATTTCTTCTCTATGTATGTCTCTGTGTCCAAATTTCCCCTTTTAATAAGGACACCATCATATTGGATTAGCGCTCACTCTACTGAGCTCATTATAATATGATTACTTCTGTCAAGATCTATCTCCAAATAAGGTCACATTCTAAGGTGGCGGGTATAGTTGGTACTTCAACATATGAACTTAGGGAAGGGACACAACTCCACTTACAACAGTGATGTCTACCAAACTTTCTCCTTTGATTAATGAGGATATCAGAGCCCCGAGTGAGAAAGCGACTTGCACAGGGTCATACAGCAAGTTGAAAAAACTAAGACTAGAATCCAGGTCCTTTGGGACCCCGAGCCTTGAGCAGACTTCCCCAGGAGTAGCAGCATTGCCTGCTTTTATAGGCCCTTCTCCAAGAAGGGAATCCCTGAGCCTGGACAAGTCTGGGAAGCACCCATAGGATCTTTTCACTGGCCTGGGTGAGGACACCATAAAACTCTTACAAAACGATATTTTGAAAAAGACTCTAAAATGTCAGAGTGGAAGGAGCCCTATTAATGGAGCTTAATAGAAGCACTGAGGTTTCTTTTCCATGGTCAGGCCGCTCATTAAGGAGGCAGATACGTAGTGTGTCACCCAGAACTTGGCTCCTTCCTTCCTTGCAGCCCTCCAACAGAGCAGTTAGCCAGAATATGGCTGGGTGGTGCTGGCTTCTCACATGCTCTCTCCCATGGCTCACTCTCTTCCGCCCACCTCTGCATCGAGGCTGGCATCTGGCCTCCATACCTGCCCAGAAGGCTGGTGGGTCTCCATTTTGCAATCTGTTTTGAGAACTCACTAAAGGTTGTTTTGAAAGCCTCATGCAACTTGTAGAGCAACATGGGTTTAAGAGCCTGGCTCTTGCTGCTTCAAAAACAAGGAGGCAAAAATTGAGATTGAATATAGCACAGAAGTGTGGGTGACACCAAACCACAGATGAATTGATAGGCTGGGGAGAAGGAAGTGAAAAGTTCACCTTGTCCTTCCCTGTAATAGAGGGCTGTTGGTTTTGCAGAGGTTTGCTTTTTTTAAAAAAAAAAAAATTTTTCATTCAATAAAAATAGCTTGGTGGGACAACGTATTCTAGCATTCGTGGAAATAAAAACTCGGAACCACATCATAGGATATTCTGCTCCAAACTTGGCCCTGGTTCCCCAGGCAGCTCCCAGTTCCTCCTGATTTATGCAGCAGCAGTGCAGGCCCTCGCCCGGTCCCAGGTGGGGTCTGGCCTTCAGAGAGGAAGGGAGGAGATGGTTCAGCGGCATCAGCTGTTTCCCTTCTCTGAGCCAAGACCCTGGCCTCAGCCAGCAGCTCAGCTTTGTCCCCTGAGTCTGCCTTCTGTACTGTGAAAACTTTCCATCACAAAGGGTCGATTCAGGAAGCCAAGGTTAGAGGCAAATGGTCTTATTTGAAAATGGTTAAGGTCAGTGAGGCCTTGGGCTTCCTGCATTGATTGCTCTCCCAGGGCCTGGGACCAGCCCAGCGGGGTGGGACGGGCAGCTCTGCAGGTTACAGGATGTGAAAGTGGGGACTGAGGTTAGGAAAAAGAATAAAAGGCTGGGGCCAGAACACACCCAGCAGAGGGCCATGTGCAGTTCTCCTCTTTAGGGTTTCCTGTGGGTACACTGAGAACATTGTGTTCTGGCTGGGAACTTACCCAGCTGAGCCGGCTCCAGACACCGCCCCTGGGTCCTAGTGCTGCCTCGCTCACACCCTCAGCCTTAGCTGCCTGCACCTGCATGAAGTCCACTGTAGGGCCCCGGGAGGCCATTTCCATTGTGTCCTCCCTACTGAGTGAGGCCCCCAGTGACCAGACTGTGAGCACTTACCTTCTGATTCATCCTCCTTTCTGAAGCATCCTCATTGTGCTTGGCACTGTCACACAGTAGCATCTCATGTGCCCCCTGACAAAACATCCTGCAGATGACAAAACAGAAGCTCTGGATATTGGGAGGAACAACCAAGGTCAGTATCAAGGTTTTGGGACCCAGGTCTCCTGACACTCTAGGGATAACTGATTTTGAGATATCATTTCAAATCCTTGAAATGAATGTAAGCCTTTGCCTTCAAAGTTTCTCTGCAGATGAATTTGAGAATTCTTAATGACTTCTCCAAAACAGCTCAAAGCTCAGGCATGTGGTGCAGAACTGTCCAGAGAAGCCATGGCCCGAACTCTGCCCTGTCTAGAATCTGGCAAGTCCTGGCAATCATGTCTGTCCTGTGCATAAGCTCCGTGGAACTGCCCCCAGGAGCCTTTGTGCAGCACACCAGGCCCCAGGTTGTTCTGTGCCCGTAGAACAGCGGTTCTCAACCTGTGGGTCACGACCCCTTCGGCGGTCGAACGACCCTTTCACAGGGGTCGCCTAAGACCATCCTGCATATCAGATATTTACATGACGATTCATAACAGTAGCAACATGACAGTTATGAAGTAGCAACGAAAATAATTTATGGTTGGGGGTCACCACAACATGAGGAGCTGTATTTAAAGGGCCAGAAGGTTGAGAACCACTGCTGTAGAGGGTCCCGGGACTCAGAAGTATATGCTAGGCCCCAGCTCAAGTAGCCAAGAATCGCTGAGCCACCAGTGAGGGAGACAGGACTAGTAGGGAATGGAGGCTCTCTGATTAGAAGAGATTTTTGCAGTTTTTAAAGTTTTTAAGTTTCCCCTACTAGATTGTAACCTCTTTTTCCAAGTTATCTTTCTATGTGTGTGTGCTGGTCCTTGATGCACAGTTGTTGGATGGCCTGAATCAAAGTCACTCACTTGAAGGCCTTGCCTTTAGCTATGGATCCCAGGTTATTCAACAACTGCACATTGAACATCTTCTGTATACTGAGTATTGCCTGAGATCATGGGCACACAATTGCTAAAAACAAGTACACAAAGGAAAGGCAGTCTTGGTGATTGCCCCTCCTAGAGATCACGGTCCAGCAGAAAGGCATTCAATAAGCAAGAGCACCCTAGCCAGTTTGGCTCAGTGGATAGAGCATCGGCCTGCGGACTGAAAGGTCCCAGGTTCGATTCTGGCCAAGGGCACATGCCTGGGTTGCAGGCTCAATCCCCAGTAGGGGGCATGCAGGAGGCAGCTGATCAATGATTCATCATTGATGTTTCTATCTCTCTCTCCCTCTCCTTCCCTCTCTGAAATCAATAAAAATATATTTCAAAAAAAATAAGCAAGAGCAAAATCCCAAGGTCCATGGTCATCCTACGGGAAGTCCAAGGTGCTATGAATGAGCATGGAGTGCTACGGGTGAGCAAAGTTATTGAGGAAGAGCCCTTTAAGCCGTGGCCCAATGGGAATTAGCCAGGTGAAGGAGGTTGGGAAACAGAGGTACAAGCAGAGTGAATGGTGCTCATGAAGACCTGGAATTTAGCAAGCAGGTGGCTCATTGAAAGAATGAGAAAAGTCTTCTAAGTCTTCCTGAACCCCACCTACAGGAAATCCAGTTCTCACTGCAGGGGAGAGCCCAGCCATTGTTACTATCAGTGAGAAAGGAATCCTACTACTTCTCTGTGGCCTCCCCCCAGCCCCAGATTCAATTCTAAAAGATAACTGGGACCCATGTTGAAGCAGGAAGGAGGAAGGCCATCGGTACGGCCAGAAAGAGCTGGTACTGGTCCAGTCACGGGGACCCTGGACTAACAAACTGTGCAAAGCACTGTCCTCCTCTCTCTAGACTTCATGCTTCATACTTAGATATTCTCAGTGTTTAGCCTGACACTCGGCCCATCCTGAACTGGTGAATGACAGCAGTTCCCATCTGTTCCTTCCAATGCTAAGATTCTGGGTCTAAGACCCACAGTCAGTCCTGCCCAGGATTCTTCTGGCAAAAGAAGTGCCGATAAGGAAGGAGCATAGAGCCCAGCACACCCACAAGTGTCTGGTGACTAAATGAGGGAATGAACGAATGAATGCTCTTCCTGAAGTCACTCTAACAGCTTTCCAGATCTTTGCTTTGAGCTCCTACAGTCACTCCTATTCCTCTGCAGTGACTATCACCAGCCACTTCCTACACAGACATCAAAGTTAGTGGGGAAAATGAACCTAGATCTTGCCTGGAGTGCTCCATCCTAGAGGAAGAAGCAGAAGAGCTGAGGAGCAGTGTAAGGAAGAAAAAGAAAGGACGAAAATGTGCAGAGTCTGGAAGTTGGTGCACATTCTCATGCAGCACCCCCTGCCTTACAAACCCCAAACCTGCTGATGCTCTTCCTCGCTCCTGTGAGCACTAGGCCTCTCCAGGGCTGGGAAGGGACAAGTGCTCCCTGAGCCACCGTACCCCTGCTTGCCCTGAATCAGGTACTATAGCGAGGACGACAGTTCCCAGCGCGGACACACCCTCAAATGCATCTTCCCTCTCCTGTGGGTTTCTGGGCTAGCCCGCAAAAGCCTGATTCATCCACAACCACACTGAAACATAGAATTAATTCTGGCTGTACCCTGGGTGAGCGAGGCCATTATGGCAACCAAACCACCACTTACAGCATTATTTTGATGGGAAAATGTGTTCTGAGCTCCAAGCAACCAAATTATAAGTGGGACACGGGCACACCCAGGTTCGAATCCCAGGTTTAACACTTCCTAACCATGTGGTCATGGGCAAGGCACCTTCCTCCCCAGCCTCAGTTTCCTGCCTTGTAAAAGAATACCTCCTTTGAGAAGGTTGTAGTGCAGACTAAACAGACACATGTGAAAGTGCCCTAGCACATGGCAGATGCTCTCCTCCTTCCTTTCAGCGGGGCTTTTGTGAAGAGACGTGGAGACAAGGCTTCAAGCACCGTCCCCTCAAAGTGGGTTCTTTATCCAGCTTGCATGGAGGCAGTATTACCACTGGACTCGGGCTCAGAGCAAGTGTTTGAGATAAATGAGCTGCTGTCTAGAAATCACAGAACATTCCTCATCTTTGACCTTCTCCAGTCTTTTACTGGCTTATCTGAGCCAAGAAACTTCTCCTGCCCCTACTCAGCTCCCTCTCCCTCCCCCAATCTCTCCATGAACATCATTGTTCTGACTCCTTTTGCTCCTGGTCCTGGGAAGGGGCTTCGCCTCCAGAAGGGGCCAAAAGCCCTGGTCTTTCACCCCAGGCCTGGCTGAGAGCCCAGAAGAGCAAGCAGGAGGAGCCCAGAGACCCAGGCAGGCACATCCCAGCCAGGGGAAGGCAGACCTCCTCTGTTGGCTTAGGCTTTGGCCCCTCCTTGCTTCGTTTGTTTCCAAGCTGCAGCCAGAACGGTCTGTACTCAAAGGATGGTGAACCGGCCAAGGCATCCGTAGGGTCCTAAAGGTCCCCCGTATTCCTTTCTTTGCCCTTGTTCCTATGAGCCAGGGTCCCTGGTCTTGGGTTTCTAGTCTCTTGCCCAGGGTCACCAGCACTGTGGCCAGTCACCTTGAATGAGTCGTCCTACACTGCCCTGTGCGCCCACATCCCATCTCCACTCGATGCCCCTGTCTCCACAACAGTCTCTACTTTTCCACATTTGGAACCACAGGGCCTTCTAAGACCCTCCCTCCGTCTTTCCAGGCCCAGTCAGTGCCCCTCATCCTGCAGCATTTCTCCTTGGGTCTCCACCTCTCCGGCCCCACCCACCTCTTTACCCATCCCCCGCAATCCTGCAATAACAAAAACACAAACTCTTGTGAAAGCAGTATGAGCTCATGGTGAAAACCCAACAGTGCAGAAGGTGAAAATGAAAAGTAAAAGCTCCCCGCCCTCCGTCCCGCAGAGATAACCTCTGTAAACAGTGTCCAGAATCCTTCTAGATGTTTTCTTTGCACACTGGAGTATGCGTCTGCAGGGGCGTCCTCGGCTTTTTCTTCAGAATGAGATTATAGCGTACACAGTATTCTGCAACTTGTTTTCACCTGACAATGTATTTTGGGCATCTTTCCAAACTCTACCTCACTCTTTTTAACACCCACATAATATTCCAGGATTTGGAATTTATTTCACTATTCTCCTGGCACAGACACCTAGGTGGTTTTCAGTTTTTGCAATCACTATTTACTTTGGTTCTCAGCCGCAGGTCTCAAACCTCCCGTCTGCCCTCCACACCACTGCTCAATGCTAGCACCCAGCTCAGCCACCTTCCTTGTGTTAGGATTGTTCACTAGGTGTTTTATCTCCTCTCCTACATCTTAAGCTCCTCAAGACAGGGTGTTTGCCTAGGAGCTACTGGCAAGGAGCACTCTAGTCCTGTCAACTCTGCAATTTGTGAGCCAACCTCAGTGCCGCCCTAGGGAAATGTAAGGAGGTTCTCAGGCCACATGAATACTCATTCTTGGTTTTCACATACATTTATTGGGAACTCCGTGATCCTGACTTTGTGCAGGGTACTGGAGCTCCAGGATGAAACAGATACAGACCGTGGCCTCCTGGATCTTACAGTCAGTGGGAAAGGCAGACATTGGACACCCACACTGATAAGCACAAGTATAATTACATATGGGATAAGTGCTTTGAAAGGAAACGATAGAGGAGGGCTGGGGCCACCAGGGAAGGCCTCTATGAAGAGGTGATGAGGTGCAATGGAGAAGGCCAGTGCAAGCCAGCAGACCAGGGGATCTGGTTCCCATTCCAGTCCACTCTGGACACTTCCCCTGTAGTCTTCTCATCTGACAAGAAGGGAAATCCCCTTCCCAGTTTTAACTTTCTGTGACAATAATAAATGCTATGAGAGTTCAAGGGAAGCAGAGTTCCCCATTGCCTGGGAAGGTCAGGGAGACTTCTTGCTGATTTTACACTAACCTTGATTCACACTTGATTCACATGTGGGCTCTAATTCCATTCAATTCTAGGCCAAATACTTGTTGAGCATTCACCATATGTATGAACATATAGAAGGTGTGTGTGAGAGTATGTGTGGGTGTTGGGGGGAGTTGGGGTGGTGGTAGTGGTAGGTACTTAAACGATTTAAAACATGTGATTCCTGAAGGAGTTTACAGTCTGAGGAGGCATCAGACCCAGAATAGGATCATTTCAATACACAATGTCCAGTGGGAAGAGAGCAACTCATCATGGTTATGTGAACTGAGCACTGGCTTCAAAGCCAAGCGGGTCTGGGCTGGACTCCCTGCCCTGGACTACCTGGCAGGGGAACATGGAGCTTCCCAAGTGTGTTGAAAGAGGGCTCCTGGACGGCTCTGAGCTTCAGACAAGCATGCAGTGTGAGTCAGAGCTAGAAGGGCATCTGAGGAAAGTAATCGCTGTGAAGATGGGAGCAAGTAGAAAGAGAAGATTCCTAAGACTATAGAGGAAAGGCATCCCACAGGTCACGGGGACCTGGGTAAAGTCAGTCAGACCAGTGTTGAAAAAACATCCAAGCAAAAAAGAGCAGTTTAAGCAGCACAAGCGTCCCCCATTCTCTTCCCCTGGGCCAAGAATTTCATGCCCCAGAGAGGGCACCAGATGGGAGAAGACAGAAATCTGCTGTTACCTCTACAGTCTCACTTCTGGGTCTATGTGTCTGTTTCTCTTTTATGTGATTAAAAATACTGTAAATTATATGCTTATACTTTGTTGCTGTCCTCTTTATGATCCACTGTACATGGCTGTATATATTTTGCACATCTACATACATATTACTCTGCAAAGTTGTATACACAAAGCTATGTACACTGTACTTTATGGAAAATTTAAGAGCGTTTCAGAGATAATTAGATCCATATGTGATTTTTCCCCTCCTGTGCTGTGGAAGGGAAATGACTCTAGAGATAGGCAAGGGTCTGTCCTGGAGGCTTGGTGGGCCAAAATAAGGAGCCAGATCTGTATTAAAGACAATAGGGAGCTATTAAAAGGTTCATAGAAGTCCTAGAGAGGCTACACTAGGTACAATACATAGAAAGTTCCAGACTCTCCTTGTTTCTACTTAATCAGAGCAGTAAATCCCAAACCAGTTCTGTCCATAACTCATCTCTGCCTCACTTTCCCCATCCGTAAAAGAAAGCCTGCCAGTGTGGGGCTGCAGGACCACAAGGTCAACTTTTGCAAGCAAGGAAGCCCAGAGGTCCTGGGGGCTTCAGGTCGGCCCAGCAAAACCCAGTGACAGTGTTATCAGGTCTGGATGGCAGTCCTTGCCCCCAGGGCTGGCCAGCTCTGGAGCTGGTGCATCAGGGCTAGGATCCTGTTCTTTGGGAAAAGAGCTTGGTGAAGCTTCTGCTGGCCTATTGATGCCCTGCTTTCCAGGGCTAGAGACTCTTAAAACTTCCTGGGAGAGTGAGGCAACACGCCTCATTGTGCAGCCCTCAGCAAATGCAGCAGCTGCACCAAGTGCTAAAGAAAAGCTCCCATAATAACCATGTGTGATATTAAAAAGATAAAGAGGCAAATAGGTATGTAGGCCAGCTCAAAAATAGCCACCCACCATTCGTCCTGAGTAACCATTTGTGCCAGGTGGGTACAGAGGGTTTTCTTCCGTCTCCTCTCAAGCTGATCTTCCTGCATCTTTGTAAGGTTGCCTCAGAGAGAAGGCCCCGCCTGCCCTCGCTGGAGGTGGCCTGGGCAGTTCTGGCAGGCGGCCACGCAGGGGTGGGCAGTACTCCCCGCACTCCCTCCACCAAACAAACCCTGGGGTCAGAGGGCACAACCCTCTGACGTGAGGTCTTGGGGCTAAATCGGGGCTTTAGGGTGGTGACTCATGGGCACTCCCCAGCCCACCCCTAGCAGGTTTTCCGCGCACCCAGAGGCCTCCCCCACCCCTACAGGGGCCGCTTTCTTAGGAGACCAGAGACCGGGTCCAGGCCAGTTCCAGCCTCAGGGCTGGGAGAGCTCCCCAGCCTCTCCCTCCCTCCACCTCCCCCCCTTCCTCCATGCTCACCCGAAAGGCGCGGGCCCCTCCGCCCTGCCCCCACCCGCGGCCCCGGGGCCAAAGCGCTGAGCTCAGCACCGCGGCGCCGGCGCCTCCTCCCGTGGGGGCGGGGCCGGGGAAGCCCCGCCCTTCTCCCCAGTTCCACGGCCCCTCCATCCTCCTCCCATCCCCCCAGATGTACGTTCTCCAAGTCACGTCCCAGCTCCCCACCCCCCGTAGGGGGTCCGCGGAGACCCACCCCCAAGTCAGCTGCTCAGCATCTGTCACCTCCGAGGCCGGCTCCCCACGGGCGCAGCTCACAGCGGGCGGGGGGTGGGGGGGCGGCAGGGGGAGTGGGGGGGGAAGCGGGGGAGCGGGCGGGGGGGCCTCCCCTCCCCCCACCCGGCTGGCCCGACTGCAGACCTCGGGGAAGTCGGGGAAGCTCTTGTGTGCACCTCTCCCCAGAGCAGACTCCAGGAACTTAGATTTTTGTTTCTCCCTGCGTTTGTTTTGAAGTCTGTACAAAACTCCAGCAGTGGCTCCTAGATTCCTACGCCGGGTCTGCCTTGTGGACACGGGGACGAGGAGAGTCCCTCTGGAGCTCCCCAAGTTCGCCTTCCGAGGGGAGAGCGCTCAGGGAGGAACCTGCAGGGATGTGGTGGCAGAACCACTGTCACTTTGGGCCCGTGGGTGACTAGCTAAAGGCAAACCCCTTGGGGGGGAGGGGGGAGACAGAGAGGAGAGAGAGGAGGGGGCTGCTTAATTCGGCAGGGGGAGGGAGAACCCGATGAGATAAAACAGGGGCCAGCCCAGGAGAGAAAGTTTTTTGTCAACAGCTCCAGATGTTCGCTCTACCTCTTCTACCCACCACTCCCCGCCATGTACTGCCCCTCCATCCCCCACACAGGCTCACAACTGAGAGTGTTAGTAACTTGGGATCGAGGAAATGAGCTGTAGCCAGAGCCATGGCTCCCGCCTGCTGACCCGCAGGCCCTGCTCCTAGCTGGGCCGCAGTTTTCTTTTCTTTTTTAATCCTCACCCAGGATATGTTGGTTTTTTTTTAATTGATTTTGAGAGGAGAGAGAGAGAGAGAGAGAAAAACATCGATTGGTTGCCTCTGGTACTTGCCCCCCCAAGATCCAGTCTGAAACCTTTTGGGGTGCCCGATGACACTCCAGCCGACTGAGCTGCCCAATCAGGGCTGCGCCTCGCTTTCCTTACTTGCAAAATGACACTGCTGGGGCCTGACCGTTCTACACTACACAAATGTTAGTAGTTATTGTTATTGACAGAGTTATGAAAATACTAAAGGATATGGAAGTGTTTTTAAAACCATGAAGAGCTCCAGAAAGATGAAAGATCTTTGTGAGAGGCGGCACAGTTGCCAGGTGGGACTGGCAGCTTCCATCACCTGCAGCAAGGAATTCCAGAAGAAGGCTAGCTTGCAGACCCTGGGCGGCTGCTTTTTGCATAAACCTGAGTTTCCCAAGCCCCCGGCTACTATTGGCACTGAAGATTAAAAAAAAAACACTTCTGAGTGAGGCTAGAGACTTGGCAGAGGGGCAAGGAAACAAACAGTTGCACGTCTGGGAAAAGAAAGTTCCTGGGGATTGAGTGAGACCTAACTGCCAGGAGAGTGAGAGATCACTGACACCTCACCTCCTAAGGCTCCTGGCCTTCCAGCAAGTTTCCTGTCCATAAAGTGTGTGTGTGGGGGGGGGGGGGGGCGGCAGTGGATGGAGGGTGGGCGCGCTCTCCCAGGACCCACAGGCTCTGACATTCAAAGATTGTAAGGTTTATTCCACTGAATGAAGAATTCTGACAAGTGAGAGGGCTGATTCCTCTCTGCTAACACTCTAATCCGGCCTCACTCACCTCGGCTCCTGGGGGCATCCAGAGGCTGGACAAAGCCCTTCTGGTCTTTCTGCTCTGGAAGAACATACAAAAAAATAGACCTCATTTTGCTGTCCAGGCGGGCAGTGAGCCTGGATTCAGGCTGTCCCCGCTGTAGCAGCTCCTGATCATCTGTGTCTCTCCCTCCACCACTCCCCCCAGCGTGAGGAGCAAAGCCGCCCCGACCCCACCTTCCCCTTTGATACATGGCAATTGGAAACCCTCAAAGGGCAAGACCACTGAACGGCTGGAACTGGAATGTCTGCTTCTACCTTCTCTGGCAGGCCTACTCCGGATGGTCCACACCCTTACGGGCCTGGCCTGGGATTTTTAGCAAAGTAGCTCCATGAAACTCATGATTTTCCTTTCTTTCGGTATGATCCCTATGGAAGTGGAAGAGGCCTTTGAGATTCTCTAGGTCTGGGTTTTCAAAACTGGAGTATGAAAATCCCAACACAGGATAATTGCAGTATATTTTCTTTCTATTAAAAAATTTTTTAAGCCGAGGCCGGTTTGGCTCAGTGGATGGAGCGTTGGCCTGCGGACTGAGAGGTCCCGGGTTCGATTCCGGTCAAGGGCATGTGCCTGGGTTGCGGGCATATCCCCAGTGGGAGATGTGCAGGAGGCAGCTGGTCGATGATTCTCTCTCATCGATGTTTCTAACTCTCTATCTCTCTCCCTTCCTCTCTGTGAAATCAATAAAATATATTTTAAAAAAAAATTTTTAAATCTTCACCTGAGGATATATATTTTTAGTGATTTTTTGAGAGAGAGAGAGAGAGAGAGAGAGAGAGAGAGAGAGAGAGAGAAACATCAATCGGCTGCCTCTCCTACACATCCTGACTGGGGATCGAACCCACAACCTTTTTTGGTGTACAGGGTGACAATCCACTGAGCTATCCAGCTGGCAGGGCTAAAAAATATATTTTATTGATTTCAGAGAGGAAGAGAGAGGTAGAGAGAGAGAAAAACATCAATGATAAGGGAAAATCATTGATCAGCTGCCTTCCGCACACTCCACAATGGGGATTGAGCCTGCAACCCAGGCATGTGGCCTGAGTGGGAATTGAACTGTGACCTCCTACTAGTTCATAGGTCAACACTCAACCATTGAGCCACACCAGCTGGGCAGGGCTAAAAATTTTTAAGTAAAAAATGTTTACTTTAAAGTTAAGTAAAACTTAACTTTTACTAAGTGAAACTAAGTAATTTAACTAGTAAATAATTTTAAAAGTTGCCACTAAAATTTAACACAGACAGGATGTAAACCTAGAATGCAAAGTTGCATTATTTGTAATAAAAGTACGGAACTTCAAAGACAGACGTATTATATTTCCTACAGGTTGTTTCAGGTCACAGCTTAGAACCCTAATCATCCCTAGGGGCCAAATAGCCTGACCTCAGATCAGCTGACCCCTGGCCCTCACAGGCAGCTCAGCCATTGTGCTTAGGCTTCTGGTACAAACTGAAGCGGGATGTTGCCTCAGACGCCCTCTACTTCTGCTTTCTTTTCTCAAAAGGGTTCAGAAGCCGAGGAAGACAGGGGGATCCTGGCTGAAAGCTGGCCCTGGAGCAGATGGGATTCCTCTCTGCGAGGCCGAGGGGTGTATTAGTGAGAAAAGAGATGGTGCCCTGGAGTGTGGCTGAGTCCCTTCGACAGCTCACTTGACCACTCTGGGTGTGTGGGAAACAAGGTGGAAAGCAGTGGACGGCTGGTGAGCCTCTGTGCCTTGCACCACCGTGCCTAGTGTTAATGGTGTTCTGTTGGACTACCCTCCTAGTTCTCAAATCCCCATCCCTTTTCATGGTGGCTTATCAAGCCGACCCTTTGTGGGGTTCCCACTGCCCTTGCACTGTCCCCAGAGGAAATAATTTCTTGTCACCAGAGAGGGACCAGGACCAAGTTAGGTCTGTCCCAGCACAATCTGGAATGTGTGGGTTCTTGACTTTGTGTAGGAAAAATTTCACGACACAAGTCCAGGTGATGTTTTAAGAGTACGTTTATTAAAGCTGGGGACAGTGAAACAAAGGAAGAGCTCAAGGTAGAAGGGGCAAGATCACAGCAACAGGAGTGAGCTGAGACAGGGCTCAGATTCAGGGAAGGAAGTCACAGGAACAGAAGTTAACCAATGCCGGGCTGTGTGGATGCAGAACAGGAAGTTACAGAGGCAAAGGAGTCCTTAAAGACAAGTTCAACGGGTTAGCCCGGGACAAGCTGCTGCTGCTGCTGCTCCCCTGGTTGAGTCTCGTGGGGACCTTTAGCGTTTAGGAGAAAGAAAGCAAAGTGCACTCCTGAGGAAAAGTGAGGGGGAGGGGACACACAAGAGTGCTCAAGAGAGAGAGTGTGGCCCTAACCGGTTTGGCTCAGTGGATAGAGCGTCAGACTGTGGACTCAAGGGTCCCAGGTTCGATTCCGGTCAAGGGCATGTACCTTGGTTGCGAGCACATCCCCAGTAGGGAGTGTGCAGGAGGCAGCTGATCGATGTTTCTAACTCTCTATCCCTCTCCCTTCCTCTCTGTAAAAAGTCAATAAAATATATTAAAAAAATAAAAATAAAAATCATCATTCTCCCCTTTAAAAAAAAAAAAAAAGAGAGTGTGCACTGGGTCAGAGGGTTTTGTAAGTTTTTATTTACAAACCCTGTGTCGAGGGCTGACTTTCAGTGGATCTCAGCGAGGGAGCTGCTCTGCTACCTATGAAACCCGGACCCAGAAGCAGGTTATCTACAAGATAGTTAATCAAGGCCGACCTGCTTCTGGGTTGGGGTTTCATATGAAGCAGCCTCACTGTGATCTATTGAAAATCAGCCTTCAACACAAGGGTTTGTAAATAAAAAAAAAAAACAAAAACAAAAAAAACTTTGAAAGTTAGTTAAACAATGATTTAGCATCAGGTTCCCCACAAACGTGCTTTGCATGACAGGCAAGGGGTCAGCCCCCTTTCAGGGATGATGGGCTCTCCGTACCAGACCTCGGACCTCTGTCCAGACGTGCAGAGGGGCACGCCACACCGCCCCGTCTTTATCTGTTTTCTAAAGGTGGGAGTTTTAGGGGAGATCTCAGGGGAGGGTCTCAACAGAATATTCAACAGTTTTCCAGGGATGTTCTTTAATACGCTGATACATCAAAATGAGCCTATAGGGGAGTTTGGGATCATTCCCTAGTTAGTTTTAGTGCTTTCTTTTTATCTTGGATTTGTCTGGCTCTAATTGGGCTTTTTTGTTATT